GTGTGGGTGTGGGTGTGGGTGTGGGTGTGGGTGTGGGTGTGGGTGTGAATATAGATTGAAAGAAAATAAATACCAACACACCCAATCACACTCTATGTTTATGGAAAGCGGGGGAATGAAGTTGAAAAACTTTCACGAAAAGCAGACACCGACTATTTTCTTGAAAACCTTATGTAAAGCTCACAAAATATTTCCAAATTGCACTGAAATTATTCGAATCATTGCTTAACTATAGAAGCACACCTACCATCCACTTCTTGCAATGACGTTCGATGAATGCCGCAAACATGTTCTATTGAGTGACATAAAAATATTATAATGCACGATTTAAAAACAAACGTTAAATGCACTTTATTTTGCGGTGCATGGGACACCGAAAAATATCGAATTACGCTGATTGTTTTTATTTCATCTAGTGCAACTTCGTGCATTAAAAATGCCAACCAACTTCTGCTGTCTACATCTACCTCTGTTTACTCTTTCTCCCGATCTATGTTGATGTAAGAAGAAACTAAAATTTCAAGTGTGGTGCAATTCTTTTTTTTGGAAATAACCGAAATAAACAGAGCAAAGTAGGCGAATGACTTCGTTATGCTTCAAACGAATGCAATCAATCATTTTTGAGTTTTTCGTTTAGCTGGCAGTAGTATTGCAGAGACTGCGAATGTTGATTGGAAGCAATTTAGGTGGCACGATATATTTCTTTATTTATTACTTACTGTTCAACATTTCTTTATAACCATCAATCATGAAGCGATATGGAGCACAATATCGCTCGTTATTGTTCATAATAAAATACGAATGCTGGACGTAAAACAACTTTCTTGAAAAATAAAATAGAAATAAAACTGAATAAATCAGTGAAATGTCTATTCACGCAATTTGGCTATCATTGTCGTTGACAATGACTTGAGAAGGTAGAACAGAGGTTAGCGCAAGATGCCAGTTTTAGACTAACGAAAGTACTCCCAGTTCCGCCTTACAGTTATTCGAATACGTCGTTACATGAAAACAGCTAGAATTATATACCATTCACCAATTTTTCTAGAAAAATATAACAATCATTGCCATTTTTAAAAAATATTCGTAAATAGGCCTCGAAGGATTTTCCCTCCAAAATCAGTTTCGCAATATAGCATTTAGAATCCCTTTTCACATTCCAAACCCAGCGAACTCTACCAATTCACCTTTTACTCAATGTTTGCACTACGCTAGAAGGTACTCAAGCACAGAGACATCTCACATAAACGTACTCAAATAAATCTCCTTCAGAATATTTATACTATCCCCGAGTTACAACATACACTAGTATTTCATCAGACAACTATAGTCTATTCCATAGCACCAATGTCATTCTTTTACCGCATCTTCAGTATTGTCTATATTGATGGCCATTCTCACGCATGCTCACTCAACAAAAACTGTATCGATCAAGTCGAAAAGATAATGCACTCGAAAGATAGATTTATGTAGATAACAAGTCTTGTTCTTGAAAGAATCTCATAAAATGTAGCAATCTGCTCAAAACTCACGCAAATATCCATCTATACCTGTATGCATGTTCAGAACTAAATCATACCCACAATTATACAACTTTAAATACCAATACTAAAATCAGACCCAATTCCACATCCACAACGCACACCGACACCCACACCTACAGCCACTCTTAAGATCTGGTGAACCATTCAAAGAGCTGGTCGACAAGACTCATTAGCTCCTTTGAGCTGGGAGCTGTCACACAGCTATTTACGAATAAAGCAAACTTGACGAGAACTGACTAGAATTTTGACTTCATTTAAGTCGAAAAATAAGCGATTTGACCATCTCTGTTCTACGGTTGTCACTTATTACTGATGCTATTACTTTTATTACTTATCACTTTATTGGTAGTTGTTTTCTTATTACTTTTCAAAATTATTAATAATTACCAATAATAAGTAATAACGTTATCAGTTATCACTTATTGCAAGTAATGGTGATGCACCATCCCTAGTAATCAGAATCTATTTTTAGAACGAATGATCGCAAGACCGTATACACACCCGAAGCTCGAATGAGTAAACTGCCTATATACTTTAACTCGTATTTTGATAATATCTCTAAATCTATAAGATGAAGTTCAATTTTGTGTGCCTTAAGTTTTTTTCAGACAGTCTTCGATCCAGCTAGTACGATCAAACAAAAATATCTTGAACTCTTTCAAAATTTTATTTCTTCTATGGGCTTACCTGTATCGCTGTAGCTAGCTGCCGAAGCTGGCAAAAAATAATTGAAAATAGATAAGACGTACAAAGAGGAAGTAGGAAGTAGGAAAATCGAAAATTCATATGACGTAGCTCCATTCTACTCTATAGAAACAGAATACTGATAAAGAAGAAATACTACGCTTCTAATACTATTTTACTCAACATTCACCATAGTCGACACCATGAAATTAACTTCTGTGACCTTCTCACTTATTTCAATTAAAAATCAATCTAGATAATGCCACACGTCATTGACACTGTATCCATGTTGTAATTCAATGCCACATGCCTAAGAGTTGCTTACTATAAAAGGTGGATTTGAGAAATAAAAATTCAAGTAATCTTCCATTCAATTAAAGTATTTGTTGGTATGTATTTTATTTAGTATAAACCTGTATTTTAATTGTCATGTTATGTAGAGGTGATAA